GACTAGTACAGGAGGCATCTTGAAGCTGTCATTGCCAATAAAGGCTTTTGTACAACATATTAGAAAAATTTCAGTAAGTGTGGTCAATACTTTTTCCCTGTGCCATTCCACATTATTACAAATAACTTCATTTCTGGACATTTATGGTTTGATTTCTTTGTATGTATGGATGACTTGGGTTGTTACCAACATCTGGTGAAAATTTCATGTCATTAGCACYTCTAGTAATATATTTACTGAGAAAAATGGTGACGTGTTCAATACTTATTTTACCCGCTGTAAGTGGAACTGTAATGCTTTGGTCTGCTCCTTTTTGTAACTCCACAAGCCCCCTTCCAGTTTCTAGCGGTCCAATGTACTTTGATAAAGGGGTTTACGACTATATAGCTGCGCAGAAATGTTTTCTTTACAAATTAATTAAAAAGTAAGAAAGTTAATAAGGGAAAACTGTACTGGCTGAAAAATATAATCCAAACAGGATATAAAGATATCTAAGCAGCAAAGGAAAGACTAAATTAAACTTTTCTGCACTCCTATAGTCTCCAAGTTCCTTTTAGAGTGGAAGGTGTTGAGATCTGGAGTCACTGAGGTGAGGTTTTTGGGAGTCATCGACGAGAAACTGACATGGAGACCTCATTTAAATTACTTAACAACAAAAATGGCAAAATCATTTGCAGTACCGTATAAAGCCAAGGAGTAATTTAATGATAAAGCACTATGTATACTATATAATGCAATAATTGTTCCACATTTGATTTATTGTGTAGAAGTCTGGGGAAATGCATGTAAAACCATTACTAATCCTATTTTTATTTTCAAAAAAGAGTCATAAGAATTATCACAAGAAAGCATTACTATCACCCTTCTAATATATTGTTTCATCAGTTAAAATTATTACAATTTGATGAGTTGGTTGAATATCATGTTCTACAGGTGATGTATAAAGCTCATAGAAATGTGTTACCTTCAAACATCCAATCTAATTTTGTTAAGAGAGAAAGCTGCTATCATTTGAAGGGATTACAAATGTTTGTTAAACCGAAAATTCAAACAAATTTGAAGGACAGATGCACTTCAGTCAAAGGTTTAAGACTATGGAATAATCTGGAAAATTATTATAAAACCATGGGATCAATTAATTTCTTAATGATCAAAGCAAAATTGTTAAAGAAATATGAAATTGTTTAATTTGTATTTGTATGAGTTACTGTTTGAGGAGTTGAATTTTTTGTTTTGTTTTATTATAGTTTGAAATTAATTTAAAAAATTGTAGAAAGGAGCTGCCTTTCATTTTATTTGATTTGCATTTTTTGTTGTATGTAATGTTTTTTTTTAATGAAATGAATAAATAAATAAAGTACACAACAAAATGTATCTAACAGCAAAAAGGTGGATTTTAAATATTTCCCCTTTAACAGTAAATTATTTATCTTACACATTATTTTATTTATTGTTCTTTAAAGTGTGTGAACTGTTAATCTAATGATATCTTTATTTCACTAGCCACCATTTGAACAATGTAATTCAAACTCTCACCTCTTTGATGTCCATCAGGGACATGGAGTGGCGGCTGAGCTGCCGCACTTTCTCCTGCAGGGTCAGTCTGGGGGATGCTTGGCCACTGGTGGGGATTCCAGAACCAGCCTGGGGAGATTCGTCGAAGATGGTGCGAAAGTGACGCACCAGCAGCTCCACCATCAGCGCCTGGAAAGGATAATCCACCAGGGAGGACAGGGACACGTCGGCGTCTATCTGCCGGGGCTTCACCAGCGTCGGGCCAAAGATGATGCCCAGGTTACTGGCTGTCATTTTGTTCTCCTCGGCCTGTTCAGTAACTCTGAGGAGGTAAAGAGCAACACAGAGTTTAGCCTTTTTCAGCAGCAGAGCCAAAAAGTCTACAATTCGATATATATTTCTGTGATAAATAACACATGACACATCGTTAAATGTTGAGGCCGTAGTTAAATTTGTTCAATGAGGCAATAAAAAGACAGATTTTATGCTGTCATGCTCTACAAATTCCACCAGAGCTCTAGGGAAGTTTCTGTCTCCCTTTGAGGGTTATGAGGAAGTTTGTATTTCAGAGTCTTTGCGTGGGGAGCAACAAAACAAAAAGCCTGGGCCCGTACTTGTTCAGATGTGCGAGAAGGTGCCGCAGAGTCCTGTAGTTGGCTACGGGCAGCTGGCGGAGGAGGTCTCTGACCTTGAAAATGACGGCGTTCATCTGGGGGCTCGGACCAAACTTGTCTTTAATCTGGCTGCCCGGACATTTATCGGCCTCCGCCACTATCACCCGCTGGCACTCTTTAGCCAAGCCAATAAAGTTGTTGTAGAACCGATAGAGGAACAGCGGCTCAGGTAACTGTTGAAAAGAAAACAGCCATTGTGTTTCATGTTCCTCGCAGTAAAAGGCTGCATGGAGTTATTTAATATTTAAAACCATAAAATCAAATAAGTACAGTTACAAATGGTACAACAAAACATGTAAAATTCTGAGAAACACCTGTCGCAGGTAGAGTTTGAGAACATTGCTGATGTCATGGGGTGAGAGTTCAGACAGTTCAACCAAGTCCTTTCCATTTTCAAACGCCTGACAGAGCTTTTCCACACGCGACTTGGCACCATTCACACGGTAAATCCCCTGTGGGAGTAAGAAACACACCGTCACACTAAAAAAAACAATATATTTAACAATTAACTGAAAGTATTAAATTACTTGGGTACATGAAGCTGCACAAAATGTATCCAAATAAAAAAAAAACGTACCTTGATATTGAGGGCTCGACTTTCTATTTCAGATGTGCATTTCTTGATTATAAAAGGGATTCCATCTGAGCTGTTCTTTGATGCTTGAGCAAAGTCAATCCCAAACAGCTGCAGTCGGCCTTGTAGCTTTTTGTGACCACACTGTATGGCGAGCGTCTCCAGACACTTTTTATGACAGGCTAACGAGCACTGACAAAAAGAAAGCACAGTTAAAGTGAAAATTTAAAAAAATTGTTAATTCTACCGATCATTTCAGTGTATTTTCCTCAGCCAGAGTAAAGCTGTGTGTATTGTACCTCTTCACATTCAGCCCCGTGGAAAACAACCAGACTGTCGCACTCTCTGCACTTAGAAGGAGCTCGCAGTTTTCTTAACTTGTGTGTCTGAGCCGCTTTTGACATTTGAGCATTTCGAAACGGTCCGGGAGAACTCGCCGTCTCTATCACCATCTCTGCCAGACCTGAAAACCACAGGAGCTTTTGAGGAAGGCAGCGAACTAAACATTTTATTTTCAGTGGGAAGAGCAGCAGCTAAGCTGAACGTTATTATTAAAAGAGATGCTAGGCTTTGCTGATGTCACCCAACTATACAAACGATAGCTTCGTTTCCTGTTTTTACATGTTACTAAAACAGAAATGCACAGTTCAATTATAGTCATAAATACAAAAAATAATTTAATATAAGCTTTAAATAAAGGTGATGCTATAGTTTATGAGAAACAAATCAAAAAGGTCATCGTTGCTTTCATTCCCACTGTTACAACACTCAACACAAAAAAAATGAAGCTGAAACTACGTCTCATAATTAACAAAAACCCTAATCCATGCTGCTAAAAATAAAAACATCTGATGCAGCAGGGTTTACACTAATACGATAATTTGATGTTTTGTGCACAAGTGTTGCGCAACACCCTCACACCATCTCTCCTTCCGTGCCTGAACTTCTCTGCAGACATAAGACTATAATTAGCAGAAAGCGTGAACATGACTCTCTCTGTGCAGTAAAAAAAAAACACACACACAGCAATCACACAGAACACACACACTGACATGTCTTACCATTATCTAATGGGGTGAACGGTTCCCTCTCGTCCAGGTCGTCAGCTGAAGACATGGTACCAGTGGAAGGAGTTCTGGGCAGCCGGCGTTTGAAGTCACCTGAAAATGTTACTTTTTAAAATTCCTGTGGTAATGTTCACACTGAATGCAATTACACATTTTAAGCTACTGACATAAACAGGATATATTAACATTAACAAAGAAATAAATATTGTACCCTAGTTGTGCTTATTTTCATTTGAAAGTAAAATAAATTGGAAAACATTAAGAGGTAATTTGTGGACTTATTATCATTACACTGTCAGGATGTTACCAAAACAAATTACAATAAACAGCAACATCATGATTCATCTAAAGTATCGATGTGATGCTACTGTTTGTCATCTCTTTATCAGTTTTACTGATATGAATATCGCTTTCATCAGCAAAATGCTTCTTTTACTTAGTCCACACATTCATTATTTTATATCCAAATGCATTAACAAAAAGACTTGTTTATGTGTGTAAAACCTTTGTACCTGGGCTGGCTGTGGGAGAATCCATGGACCTGGACTCACTGCTGCCTCCAGCGCTTTCTGAATCGCTGCACATCCCGCCCTGGCTGCCCTGACTGCTGGAGGCCCAGGCTCTCAGCGGGGCCTGGCTCCTCAGTGCTGCAGAAACACATGCAGACCACCAATCACAAACAAACGAAACATAAATAGCTGCTTTTTTAGTCACACTCTAGGTTTTATTTTTCAGAGAACAGGAGGTCAGGTCACATGAACATTAGACTTCCAACTAAAACTGTTTTAGTCTTTAAAACCTTTCCATGACTCAGAGGACACAGTCAGTCCCTCAGAGGCTATGGAAGAATCACACATTTGTAAGCAAATCAAACTTACATTACAACCAGTCTATCCTCCAGCAGCAATAGAAGTTTTATTTGAGTTTCTTTTTATAATACAGTGGGCACGGTTCTGCTAATTAGCTAACAGTGAAACTAGCTTCTTATTTAGTGGATTAGCATTTTAGCAAACTTTGGAAATCATTAGCAGACCAATTATCTTCCAATAAGTTAGTGCTAAATTTGTATTCTTATGCCATTTATCCCAAATTAAATAAAACTATCCACTCTCACAAGCAGTGCTGAACATGTCAGACATCGTGTGTGTAGCATGTAGCATCTTTAGCATCTAAACTTCAAACTAAAACAAAAGATAACTTTGTATAAAATATGGTAGAGAAAGTACAGTATGTTTGACTAACTTCAAACGGTATTAAAAGAAATACAGACACAATCAGAAATGCTTTTATTGTGAAAGGGTTAAACTGGAGGTATCACAAGTTAGACAGGGCTTTAACTCTGGTTTGGATTGGCCAATTTGCCTCAGTTTATTCCACCTACCTTCAAATTAAACCAATAGAAAGCTAACGGGTTTGTGTCAGTCACCCCAGTCTTCATGTGGAAGGAGATGAAGATGTGGGACACAGGCTGTCGGGAGTGACAGTCATCTTAGTGGTTAGCGTTAGCCTCCCTTAATTTTAATAGGTTTAGCGTTAGCAGATCTGAGATTCTTGTTTAGTGACTTAGAGGTTAGTGAAGCTAATGTTTTGGTTAGCTGTTCCCACCACAGCTAAACTACAAACTGAAACTGATGAATGCTGGAATACAAACCTCGTATGTCAGTGCTGCTGTTACTTTTACTGATCTGTGCAGGCCGGTCCATTTCATCCCCCACCAAGGCGTCACAGGAAGTGACGGATTCCTGAGACAGGTTGCCATGAGAGGAGTGAGTGCTGCCCTGTGATCTTTTGCTGAATGCAAACCTGGAGAAAATAAAGTTAGGATGTTAGGATGGTAATATTAAATAAAAAACAAACCAGAAATGTCATTAAGATTCTGATTTGCCAGTTTGTGCTATCAGCAGCTTTGTTACTACTAATGACACAAACATTTTAGTGTAATGTACTCCTAATATTTGATCTCTTTACAACAAAGCTGTAGGGAATTTAAAATAATGTTTGCAAGTGAAGCAATTTATCCTTTGTAAAAAGATAACTATTGTGTTTTGTGCTGATTAGCAAACTTCAGAGGTTTCCTCTAGAATTGTGTAAAAAAACTGCATAAATTACAAAAAAGCTACTTTGGATGTTTTTTAATTTTTTATTTTTTATTTTCAAAAGAGAGATGTCTTTTTTCAGACAAGGATGTCTCAGTGTATTTACCAAGACTAAAAGAGCTGTGGAGAAGAAAGAAAAACAGAAAGAAGCCCTGTCAGCAGATTACGTCAACAAATTTTGTTAAGAAAAAGAGAAAAAAAACTCTTAAAAATACACACTGCAGATCAGTTACCAATAGAAATTTTCTGTAATTTACTCTTCAACTGTATCTAGCAGGGTATTAGAGCTGGGCGATATGATCAAAATTTTTTATCACGATATTTTCAACATTTTCACCGGTTTCACGGTGTTTGACGGTATTTTTCTTTTCATCACAGCTCAGCTGATAATAAAATGTACAAACCCTGCTTATTGACTTTTTTTTCTTTTACTGTACTTCTGTCTGTGTCTCTGTTTCCCTCCTCTGTGTCTGTTCTTCTCTGACTGGTGGTTGGAGACAGTAGTCATGCATTTTGGTCCAGTCGTGAAGGAGGAGGGTTAAGAAAAGATTATGATCGGGTTTATTAAAGCTTATCAGCACGACTCGCCTTGCACACCAGTCAATTCCAACTCCACTACGAACTACTTCCTGCGGGCTTTTCACAATAGAACCACGTTAAGTCTCCTTCAGCATAACGTCTCCATATTAACTAACCGCATTAAATCTAACTGTGCACGTCACCGAAGAGGTGTTTACTACATTCAGCGACAGCGAAAACAGGATGTTTTTTTAAACGTCAGTCAATATAAGCAGCGGAATCGCCACCCAACTAGCAACTAGCTGCTCCAAACATTAGCAAGCTAACGCACATAGCGGTGCAGCAAGGAAAAATGTCCCCCGGGAAACAACAGTTCACTGGCGGCCGTGACGAAACGTTCCGCTATTTAAACCGGAATGTCTGGTATTCAAAAAATTCATATAACAAAAAAAAAAAAAACGGTATTCAGTGCAAAACGGTATACCGCCCAGCACTACAGGGTATTACAACATTATTAACCTTAACACTGACTTTGTACTTTAGATATCAAAATATTGTTTCTTGTCTTTGAGAAAATGAGCAAGTGTGTGGGAAGCTAATTCTTAGCCTTTACTAGAACGCTACAGGCAGCTTCACACAAGAGCCAAACTCTCACGCTCGCAATCATCTGTGCTGCTTTCAGCCTTCAACACAGATATTTCCTGAGGAAGGGCATGAAATTCAACACGCGCTCTGTCTCTGCAAGGTTCTGACTCTGCTCCTCCCTCTTTGACTCATTGTTACTTTTGCTGAATGTAGAACTATGCAACTTCACCAAGGGAGGGGCAGCCCTGAAGACACAGAAATACTATCCTCTACAACTGAAACTTGATCCAAAAACTACAAAAAACACAAAGCAAACACAAGTATACGTGTTAGCCGGGCGTACTTCCATAAAAAGACATACTGTTTTAAAATTGCAGAAGTGCAACAACCTGCACTGTGATGACTTTGAAGATGTTATCTTTGTGTTTTGTAAAATTAAGAGTCATCCTTTCTTTTCAGTGTCCTTGAACAAAGCACTGGAGCATCTCCACACTGAAAACACTTTCTCACCTGGAAATGTCAGAAACTGAGTCTGACTGAAGGTGCTCTTTGGGCAGGTTTTTGGGCAGGTTCTGAACAAACTCGGCGTAGCACCCTCCTGGTTCATACAGCTTGGCACTCTCACTCAGGGCCTGGAAGTGGGCAGGGAGCGCCACAGATTGTGCTTGCTGCATCTGAAACCAGTTTACTGTCACCTGAAAGAAAAAAGGGACTGAGTGAGTGAACAAAATAAAAAAATGGGGTTTGATTGGACCACCACAGGTCGACACAAGAAACTTGAGGGGGTGCTAAGTCTTGAATTCTGCTCAAATTTTAATGTGTTTAAGCTTCTGTGGACTCTTTACAGAAGCACTGCAATCCTGCAGCCTTCAAACAGTCCTGCCTGCCTGGTGCTGGGTACTAACTAAAGATCTCTTATCCTTACTTTGATGAATCAGAGATGTTTCAGCATTGCTAACCTGTGCAACATTGAGTGAAGTCTTTAAAGTGATCCACTTTCTCTCAGTGCACTACGTTCTTATCAGAATGATGACATGAACTAGAGTTTCTTACCGCTTTGAGTGTGAGGTCGCACTGGAAGACCATCTCTCGGATCTGTGACAGGATTGTTCTCTTAGCGTTGGCCAAATCCATTTTTCTGACACCAGCATCAGCCAAACAGTTCTGGTACTGGTCTTTGGCCTCTTCCACCTGCCCGACGCATTGGATACAAAACAGTTTAAAGATGCGGAAATGACTCACACGAAATGGTTAAAAGAGTGTTTATTTTGTGCTGCCAACCTTCTGCAGAGCTTCCTCCTGGAGTTTCCTCTTCTTCTCCAGCTGTTTGTTGCCAGTGTTCGGCTGCTCCTCCTGGGAGCGGCTTTTAGACGAGTGGGCTTTCTGGTACTCCTCTCTCCTCTGCGTGTTCAGCGCTCTTGCCTTACGAAGGGTTGAGTCAGCCTCTTGCTGCCAACGCCACGCAGATCGGATCGGCCAGACAGAAAGAAAACAATTAAATGTCACAATATACTATGCAGCTTTACTGAGGAAGCAATCAGAGATGCATTTTTTGAATGGAAACCAGTAAAACATGCAGGAATTGGACACCCCTGACAGCTGGTAACCAACACTGCAACATTCAGTGTTAAACACAAACCATTTTCTTTTGCTCTCTTTGCCACTGCTCCTTCAGGTCTTTCCTCAGTTTGTCAAGTTCATTCTTGCGAGCCAGAAGAGGCTGAAATAAATGAAGGATCAACAATCAAGTTTTTTTATGTATTATAAATAATGTTTTTGGCACAGAATGAGATCTCAAGAGTACTACAAAAAAAGTCTCTGTTTAGATGGGTTACTATTCATGCACACTTGATTTTACAAATTACAAATCATCTTAAAATAAAAAATATTTTGAAGCTTCCACTCTGTTTTTACTATGTGAGTGTCGAAGCAGATATTTCAGATTGTTGGCATGAACTGAGCAATAAATTCTCTAGGTTAATGTTTTTTTTTTTGTTTAATGTAACAAGTTAAAACACCTCACAAAGTTTACAGTTAAGCTTTTGCTTTTCATTTTTTTACCTGTATGAATTTATTGGTTTGAAGAGCCACTGCAGTTTGAATAAGGAGCTGGTTGTATTCGATGTCCTTCTTGAATGCGGAAATGTAGACATCACTAAATGGCATGTAGTCCTTCAGAAAACATGAAAGAATTTATACATGTTTTGAAATTCTTCTCTCATGGAAGGGACAGACAACCAGATCAGTAAGTCTTTTTGTTACCTGTTGACTGGCCTGGGTCTTTGCAGACTCTGCCAGTTTGGCATAGCTTTTAGAATATTCAATGTCTGAAAGATAAAACATGACAAATACACAGAAAACATTACTGACCTACCTGTAAATTATTTTCATATAAAAATATGCTCGCTGTCAAAAAAAAATGCACAGCCATGAATATCTCACCCATAGTCACTCGCTTTTCCATCCATCCCAGAAGGTCTTTGATATACTTGGACCAGGCCTTTGCATAAAGTAGAGCAGACTCTACTCCGCTGTCATTCTTCAGCAGGGTCAAGTCCACTTCTTCCTCTGTTGACAGTGGCACCTCTGGACCTGTGACGTGGGGAGAAGGGATAGAGGTCAGATGGGAGGTATGAGTGCAATGTTCTGAACATGGACTCGTGTATCTTAGTTCCACTTTCTATTACACATGTGAGAAGGGTAAGTTAAAAAAAAAAACAGAACAAGGTTGGAGAAGTTGTCAGTATGAGACAGAATGAAATTGTCAGACATTTACTGGATCATTCTAACAGTTTTTATTCCTTTTATGTGTCCCAAGTCATGCGACTGAACACAACCCCCATGTATTCTCAAAGTCGAACAGCCGGGTACTTTGTCACGTGACCACGTTGTAGACGGAGGCTGACATATTGCTTTGGGGGAAAATAGGATGATTTCCTCTATGTGGAAAATAGGAAAAATTGTGAAAAGTTGCTGTAGGACTGCACTTCTCACGTAAAAAACATCCATAGATAAAATATTATTTTTTTTCTAATTACAAGAGTGAGGGGAGAGAAATACGAGTCAACACGTGTTGTTGTTCTGCCTCTGCAGACCTCCGTGCTTCTCCTTGTTTAAAAAGAATTGCCTCATTGTTTTGATTTAAAACACACTAAAATTGGCTAAAATGAAGACTAAACACTCAAAACTACACATTAACTATAAAATCCAAACATGTTAAAAGTCACAGATCTAATTAATAAAGTCCTGCACTCAACGGCTCAACATTGCCGCCAATCTCCATTCAAATTTCGCCTCTTTTTATTTTCTTCTTCCTGTAGATTTTTTAATGCTTGTCAGATAACTTTGAGCCTCAGTCAAAAAGGAGGTCTGGAGGGATACATTTTTTCGGTTTAAGAGAAAGATGAGACTGAYGATGGACAGCAGTGTTTTTCCATGAGATTACAGTGTTTACTGCTTCCTTCAGCTGCAACGCGCTGCGTCTCTTTTCTTTCCACCATAAAAAAATGGAGGTTGAAATCACGTGACAGAATGACATTACGCTGACCCGCACAAGATTACGGTCAGATGCAAAAAGAGAAACGAATGAGTGTGAAAAAGTAGCAGAAATAGGAAAGCAGAGGTTTGAGGGAGGTCTACCTCAAGGATGCGAAACCTAATATCTGAGCTAACTCAGAAACTGTTAAGAAAAGTTGCCCTGGGCTTCCTAACAAAGTCATTTATAGCCATCGCATTTCAGAATGAAGTTTTTCTCACATGCATGCAGCATGGAGAAAAAATGACTGACTGTGAAGTAAACTTACCCACAAGATTCCTTCTCTCCGGAACATAGCCGTCAGGATCCACAGAGAGGTTGTCAAAGGACTGTGAAAAAGACAGTCTAGATTAAAAGGAAGGAAAATCACACATACAATCAAAGTCACACATCAGTAGCAGCTGGGTTTTCAACACCCCAATTAAGTACATAATAAGCAAGTCTTTGAGGTTGTTTTAAATAAAGGCGGGGTAAAATTGCTGCTATTAGTGCCCCCTTTAGAGGGATGCAATTCCAGAAGAAAGACTAGAATAACATATGTGGCCTGAAAGCAAAAGAAGAAAGATGGTGTCTCACCCTGCTTCTCCTGGCCTGGGGGTTCCCCAACCCTGAGCTGTTGTCCACATCTCCCATAAGGAAGTCAGAAACTCTGTGACGTTCAAACATAGAAATAAATACAAGAGAGCGTAAGCGTTTAGAAAACAGGTTGAATGGTCAAAGGGCTAATCTATTTTAGTGACTCTGAACTAGTATTTAGATGCAGATATAGGAATGGGATAATGACAGGTTTAACAAGACCAACAAGCTCCTGTCATCTGGTCTAAAATCAGCCCAACACTTGCTGGCTGTGGCACAGAAAAGTAAACAAAATGGTGGTGTTGAAAAGAAAAACAAGCACGGTACTCACACATTGCCGAATGTGAATGCCAAAATGTCAATGGAGTTGTGTATCTCGCCGAATACAGCTTGTTTGTTTTCAGGGTTCACTTCCTTGAAGTTAATGCCTGCGAACAGTGATAAAACACGCTACAACTTCAGCCAAAAGGGAAAAAAAAATTCAACTGCAAACCAGCTTTTTGTGTACTTAATCCTTCAATAATTAAGCTGCATGTAATCTAACCTGACAAACAAATGTAGGAAGTGAGCAGTTTGATTTAATTTCAGAACCTAAATCGTCAGGCATGAGCTGGACCGGTTGCTTTCTATAGGATACGGTCATCAATTCTGCAGACTTTAAGTTGTTTCAACAAAATGCTGTGGATGACATCCAAAAGGTAAAAACTCTTCAGTTTGGGTAGTTTAAAAACTAGGACGAGAACTTTAAAAAGATGCCAAAGATAATTTTGTGTAATGTCCGAGTGTCTTCCTACCCTTTCAAATGTCCTCCTGAAAAAGCTTCAAAGATCATCAAAGTGGAGGATTCAACGGCTATTCAGAAACAATCCCAGACTTTTCCTCCTTTGTTTAAAAGTGATAAAATCCTCAGTACCATCATCCATGCTGATTGTGGTCAGAGAAGGCAATCTTTGCTTTGAGCAGCTTTGGGCAGAACGGTATCCAGAAATTTCAAAGAGCCATCAAAGCCTGAGAATCTTCGCGAACGTGAGCGCAGAGCTTTCTTCACAGAAACGTTTGCAGAAAGCAATCAGAGGAACCAAAAACACAGTCAGTGAAATCCGACCAAGCTGAGTACTTCCTGTCTGCCTCGCAACAGGAAACACTCACACAGCCTGAATTCTGTCACATGTAACACATGTAAGACTACCATGACAGTTCTTACCTTTGCCCTCCTCCACCTGGCGCTTTTCAGCTAACACCAAGTCTGCAGCAAAGTGAATAAGTAGCTCCAAGTTCCAGGGTGTTTCCTAACGTTTGCTTTTCCATTTTCTCTTAATGAAGGTCAACTTAATCCTTGTTCCAGGTGGATGTGTAATTATAAATCTCCAGCTGAATAAATTCTGAGAGGTCATGGCATACTGGGTTAGGAAGGCAGCACATTCCAGGGAGACTCTTGAGGACTCCAAGAGAAAGGAGGTGCGGTGCAAGCCTCCCTGTCCTGCACCTCCCTATCTCCGAATGCTCGCGTACAACTCAGAACTGACTTCTTCCTGAGGACATCCTGTGGATGTCTAACAATGATTGCAAAGCTCGGCCCCCTTTGTCACGGCTGATATTTGGAAACTGCATCATATAAGTATATGGCCTATTGTTTTCTCATGACTGAGCTGGAAGTGAGACGACTACTTTGTGAAATAAATGACATTTTGTCTGATTACAGCATTTCTGGCACGTGAGAACATTTCAGTCCTCATCAGTAGGCTAAAGCGGTATCCATATTGCACAATTTTAAAAACAAACTAATTTAATGCAGAAAATCTCTTTTAATCATCAATGAATAATAAACATACTTAGATAACTGTTAAATTTACAATAAACTAAAAAACACACAAGTAAAGAAGTGCATTGTCAGTTGTGTGTTTTTCAAGCAAAGGGGATTACAACATAAAATAATTTCAATAATTTGAGGAAGTTAACATTCTTTGTTATGGCAGTTTAAATGAAAGTGAATGTGACGTGGAGAGTTGCTTTGTCTGAGTTTGTTTCAGGCCAGGTGACAACACAGAACAGAAGGCAACAATAGCTGCTTTCCATTAGAATTAAACCTTTATCCAGATCTTTTCAAGTTTTTGAAAATTTGCATACACTGAAAACAAACAACTACAGAAGGAAACGGTTTGAGTGGAAAATGTGCCATCTAAAACAAGTTGGACAACCGTGTGTTTGGAAAAGAAGCAGAATTTTGGCAGCAGTACAAACACGCCAGGTGTCGAGCTTCAAAGAGTAACACAAGCAAGAAGAAGACACACTCGGCGTAAAGAGAGGCACACATGGCTTGTTAACATCCATTCCTGTAAGTCTCCCTGATTTATTCTTCTTTCAGCTTTTTCTCCATTAACTCCCTATCTGAGTCAGTTTTGTGTTACCTGCTGGTCATTAGGGACAGTCTGATCAGGCATAAGACACCCCCTGGTGGAGATTCAAACCCCTAACCCAGTATAAAGAAAACAGCTGTTTGCATTACAGCTTTTTTCCTAATATATGGCTGGTATCTGCATACCAATAATCTCACAGAGGTACATGCAAATATGGAGAAGATTATATTTTAAATGCAATCATAAAAATGCAAAAAGGCTTTGATTGAGTACCAATTTTTAAAGCATTTTTTCTTTTAAATGACTGCCAATGGTTTATTCGAGGGAACTCAACCTATCTAGTACAAATGCATTTTTAGGCAACCATTAATGAGAGGATTTATAGGTGATTTTTATTACGCTATTTAAGCTTAAATGCTCTAGAAATAAAAGTAAATTAGGAAAATAATTTCGAAGTCTTTGAGAACTATCGGCCATTAATCATTTTTCTATCAGGCGACTCAGGTGCCAATACTTCTTTTGACTAATCTGAACAGGGCTCTAGTGTGCGACCAATTTGGTCGCAAATGCGATCTGATTTCCTAATAGTGCGACTAAAAAAGTGTCCAGTCGCACTGGTGCGACCAATCGTTCGAGGGGGAGGGGGAGCGGTCGCCCACTGAAAAAGTTTCCATGTTCCATAAAAAAATGAATCCAGCAGTATCAACCATAACAGTCGCCCGCCGACACAGTCTCCATCTCTCCCAGTAACACAGCGCTCTGCTTGCGGGCTCCACTCCACACCTCCCACACGCACACACACCTTTGTTGTTCTGTATTCATGGGGACTTTGCATTGGCTTCCATTCATTTCCCAAACCCTAACCTCACCTGGTTTTGTGTACCAGGGAAATGGTTAATAATTGCACCCATTATGAAACCTGCACACACATGCACGTGCACGCACATGCAAAGCGAAACAACCGTTTTTTTTAAACCCAGATCGGAGTCTGAAAAGCATTTTTTTTCTTGTTAACTGTGGAGATGAAAAGAAGATGTGGACAGTTGATTGCTCTTAAGTCCATCGTGTTAAACAGTCGAGTTCTGCTCTGTGAGCAGCAGATCATTTCAGCAGCACGAGGAAGCTCACTTGTATGGCAGGCCGCTGTTACACTTAATGAGTTTCACCACAGTTACATTCCAAGTATCTGAAATTGGTTCTTCTGGGTCTCAGGAGGATAAAACTAAACATATTAGATATTTAAGTGAAATAATATAATAAGATTCAACTAATGCTAATGAAACTGCAGACTTGCATGTGTTATTTTTAAAAAATCTGCACAAACTTTTAATAAATATCAGTAATATTTCCGCTATTAATCAATATTCTCTGTTCATCATTCTGGTTTATCCAAGGCCAAAGATCCATAGGGTCAAACTACAGGAGTTGTCCATCTAAGGGGCAGGTGTCTAAAAAAATGTAACCATGAAATGTTTAAGATGTTTTTAATATGTTCAGCCCTTAAACATTTGCACTTAGAATTTTATAGAATCACTTTAAATACTTTTCAGTAAGTTAAATGTCTACAATTCTGGTTCAAATAAAGAACTTCATGTTTACTAGATTGTTAACTAATTATTTTCGAGTTAATGTTTCCTTAATGAAGAGTGATTAAAAAAATAACCTGTAAAACTCTGATGTTAAATGCGACAAGGTTGAAAATTTGGGTGCACCTAAATTTTGTGCTGGTGCATCTAAGAAAAAAATGTTGGGCGCACCGGTGCAACCAGTGCAAAAAGTTAGTCTAGAGCCCTGCTGAATATTTTTACTTTTCACAAACTGACCACTGAACACACCAAACACTACAGAATGCAGACAAACATGCATCCTTAGAGTCATCATTCAAAGACAGGACAGGTGATCAGATAAGCCAAAGATTTTACAACTAAAGAGGAAAGGCTTGACTGGAAGGAGGACATGTTGAAAACAGGGAATGAAAATTATAGGCTTCTGCTGCTCTTGTGTGCAAGAATTCCTCTTTAATGGGTCACATTTTTACCTGATGAGTTTACGAGCAGACATGCCTTTCAGTTTTGTCTTTATCTGCTGCTTTAAGAAACTCTGCATAAGGTCATGATTCAGAAACATATTTCCAAAAAAGCATGGAGTGGGGAAACATTCCTTCAGGGTGAATCCTTCATGGAACTAAAAGACCAATACTTATCTTGATCTACTGATACAACAATGAGACTTCATGCCAAGATATTAGATAAAAGCATCACCTGAGCCTTGGCTTTGTTCAGCTGTACGTCTGTCAGAACTCATGCATGCTGCTGAGTAATTTACGCACCTTTGACTTTAGCAATGACCATGCCAGCTGCTCCAAGGATGTCCACAGAGTTGAGAGTCTGGTGTTTGCTAATAACGGTCTTGAGGACACGAATTAACTCGGCCAAGCGTTCCTTCACCACCTCCTGAAGACCTTCCATGTTTTCTGATAAAAAACAAAAATGCAAGTTTTGGACAAATCAAAGCTCAATTAATCCTAAACCTGACCACCATGTGGCTCAGTTTACAACATTTTATCAAAAGATTATTTCACAAATATTATGTCATTTGAAACTCTGACGTCATCTTTTGCTCATTCACAAATTCTTTTCTGGGCAAATGATTTGTTCTGTTGTGCTTTATCTGTGCTACTGCCTGCAGCACAAAAGTAAAAGAATAAGAAGGCTGTGGTTGGCTGACAGTGACTAGATCAGTTGCATGCAAATGCTGTGATGCAACATTTTTGGTTTTAGTTTTTTTTTTTTTTGTTTTGTCGTTTTGCTTCCTCTGAGCACAAAGTGACACCACGTCCAACGGAAGTGGTGCGTCTCCTTAACAGGTGAAGCCTAAAAAGCAGCAACATTTTTATTGTTAAAAGTTGAAACGTGCAGAGACGTTTCACATTTAATATGCACGGCTTTCTTACAGACTGCTTCAAAGCGAAGACAGTGAAATGTATAAAAAACTTCAGAAAGCTCTCATTTTAAATAAGCATTTAAAAATGAAAATGACTGACGCGACACATGGCAACAATTATATAATCACATGGTTCTCCTGGCAGTCGGCAGCCGACGGTAAGAGCAGCACTCTAGCTTTAACACCAGTGAGGTTACACAAGACGACACAGAGGGAGGAAAAGAATGTTCAAAATGTTTCTAGATTAGTCCTTCTCTCTTTACTTTTTCAAGCATATCACATTCTGTCAGTCCCTCTGCTATGAAAGGCATCTGTTGAACCAGAAGCAGCTCTTAAAAGAAAAAAAGAACCTTGTATACAAAGGTCTTTCAGTTGCTATAGTTGGTCACTGTGGGGTTTGTTTGCTTTTTTTCTGTTTAATGTCAACTATATCCAAAAGTGTGGGAATAAACAGACATTTTCATACTATAATCATTTGTAAACAATAAAACAAAACGAATGGAAGAGGGGGAATCTATCACCTGCTCTGATTCTGGCAGATCAGCAGTGCTCTACAGAAGAAGTGGGCACCAGACGAAAGGTGAGTTCATGTCTCACTTGCTGCTTTGGAATAAGCGGGGGCAGAAAAGTCATCTGTTCTTCATCAAAGCAACCCAAACAAGCAGCGGGGCGAGACGAGGGACTGGATTTATGGGACCGCTACTAAGAGTTGCAGAGTTAAAAAGAATGCATCTATGTGTGTGAGTGTGTGTGTTACATTTTCTATTTTCCTTATTAAAATGACTGGTGTAACAAATCATTCATACATAATCTTCGGCTGAAATGAAATTTGACTGCATCTTGTCCAGTTGTGAGTGTGACACCAAAAATCCAATGAGAAACACTAAGGTAAATAAAAAAGAACTGTAACTTGAGATTAAAAATAAAGATATTATCCAGAAATGAACCTAGCCTTCCTTGGAGGAATACATATTACCCGCTGCTCTGCATGCTAAAGTTTTTAACAAAGATCTTGCGATTTGATGGAACACTTAGTTGTGGTGGCCATCTTCAACTGGGTTGACTTGGAAATATAATTAGTTATGTACAAGTATTGCTTTGTAAGAGTGTCGCCAACGTCTGTTCAGTAGTTCAGGAAATATTTTGCTGACAGAGCACATCCATATTTTTTAATTTATTGTATCTACACTAATAAAGCATAATCCCTGTTTCTACCCTAGCAGGGTGGCTCAACTTCCCACTCCCCCAGGTGAAAGGTCTGTAACACCTCAGCATGAGCTTTGGTCTGACCCTAACCCCTGAACTCTTTTTAATTCTCCTGCTCTGTAATAGTCAACAAGATTTCAGTGATCTGCTCCATGGCTTTTAAAGTTTCTTTAATCCAAGATACATGTGACTTTGTTATTATTGGTTATTAGCA